TTTTTTTTTTAAAGTGCTTTATAAATTGCCACATGGTGGCACTATCGTCTCTCAAGACCTTTAGAAATTATTTCTTCCTTGGCCCATGACTTACTTTTCCAATAAATTCCATTTAAATCTGTTGACCAGTTTTTAGGTATTCTGCTATTCATCAGACAAATAGACAGATAACATCCCTGGTGAAGGCAATGAATATATTGTATAATGAATACATTGCCCAAGTTCAGTTGAATCTCATTAATGCACTCAGTACTTTGGACCATGACACACCAATTTTCATAAACTAGAAACTTGCACATCATTATAAATAAAGCAAAAATATTTGAACAAAAATAAATATGTTAGTCATTTTTTCTTTTTGCATCCAAATTGGTTTTGTGCGTGCGTCATACGACGTCATCATACAACATCAAAACAAACTCACATGATTCCCTGGCCGACCAGGCTCTCCTTTTTCTCCTCTCAATCCCTGGTGAGAAAATAATTCGAGTACAGTCACAAAAGCACATGAAATCAGTGTTTCACACATCAGTCTATACTGCTTGTGCAGCATATAGTGCTGTACTGAAGATTCAAATATCCGTTCATGACTGTAGATGTATTTTTATAGAAGTATTTATGGGTGTTAATGTGGTTTAAATGTAGCACATTAACACCCATTAGATTTGATTACATAAATATGATTGCACTTCCTTGTTGCATTCCAGAGTTGATTTTCTTTTCATGACATGAAATTGATCCAGTGTGGTGTAATGGAGAAAAACCATGATGGAAGTCACAGCAAATAACCAGCTGTACTTCCAAAAAGACAAAATATAGCTGACACATGACAGTTTTCCGAACCCAGTACATGATAATTCAGGCTTTATTTCCACTGGAATAAAATGATTTCTATACTAAATGAATTAAAGACAATATATTCCTCCACTAATAGGGGTTCACCATTACAGACGGCATTGACTACAAGCTCACAAAAAAATGATTCGATTTGAAGCTCCAGTGGTGACGATTTCTTTAGGAACCAAGTCTATTTTAATCCAAGTGACACTCATATTTATTTAAAGCTGAGGATGTGTTCTCTCAACCTCTAAATATTAGTTATTATTTTAGATTAGCGGCACAGAGGTCAATAGGATCATTCCACCATCTGCTTGTGTGACCAATTAAGGGTTGATGGCAGGGTAATAACTTACCATCTCTCCGCTTTCACCTGGATTTCCCCTTTGTCCCTGGTAAGAAATAAAGACATGGCTTATACTTTTATAGATGTTTTGCAGCAGGAAAACCGCCACAAGTTCCACATGATTTATAGAAAACTATAGTGCCAGAATACATCCTTCTACTTTATATCACAGTAAAGACTTCTGGCTTATTTAAACATACTTTGTTAATGTGCGAAAATAACATGTGGCTATGAAATTGCTTAGAAAAACTACAAGAGTTATTGCCTAAAAAAATATTGTGATGTTAGCTGGTTGCTGATTTGAGAGCTGACAACTGGCATTTCAGGCAAACGAACATTTATGATTAAATATCAGTGGAAATACTGCAAGTTTCCTGTTTGACCAGACTGGGTTAACCCTGACAGGCAAACAATTAGTATTATAAATCACATATCACAGTATAAAATATCACAGTATAAATACCTTGGTGCCCTTCATGCCTGGCATGCCCGGGTGCCCCGGCTGACCTGCGCTCCCTGGTTCCCCTGCACTCCCCTTTAAAAGCATTAATGTAAACACCAATCATTAAAAACAAGAACAATCTTTATGTTTATACTGTTACATGACATAAAAACCAAAAATATTTTTTGTTACATTGTAGATAAATACATGTTTATTCACTCACACTTTTATTGATTCAACACAGTATTTGAAGTCAGAGATAAATCCACCTGGTTCATATTAGATTCTTTAAACGGAAACATACCGCAGGCCCTGGTGTTCCTCGTGTACCTGGACTTCCACTTTCACCCTTATTCCCCTTGATTGAGAAATAAAACATGTCTCATGTTACAGAAAACATACAGTGAAATAACATCCAAACGACATCAAATCACTGACCGCAGTGCAGTTGGTATTTTCACTTTCTTATCATAATTCATTTTCCTTGATGGGTGCAGTAACTTAAGCATACCTTCATGAGGTTTTGGGATATGGCAGTTTGATGTTTAATTGTGTCTAGTCGAATGCTTTCTTTTCCAGTTGAACAGGCCTCAGTAATTGCAGTCTGAAGCTCAGCCATAAAATCAAAGTTTTGCCTGCCTGTCCATAAACTAGGTTTTCACTTGTGTGCCATTTACCAATACACATTGGCTTGTTAAAGGCAGATCAGCTAATGAAAAGTGATTAGGAGACAGAACGTCCAGACCAGACAAGCCCAGACTGCTTACATTTCCACTAAAATTCCACTGACGAAAGCAGTACGATCGGATCATCGCTTAATTTAGCACTGCCGGTGTGGCCAAGAGGTCGTTACTTGTTCTAAAGTGTATTTTAGAAAAACAGTGACCAAACAAAACATGTAATGCTGCTGACCCAAGCAGCTTTCTATGTATTTCAAGAAGGCTGCAAAGATTTAATCTTACCCAAACTAATGACATTATGCACTGCAGCGTATAGGCTGGACGACATAAGGCTTGGCAGGTTGACTGTACTACACTCTGCTTAGAGTCAACTTAAATCATAACATGGCTTGGCCTGCAGTTTGTTGATCTGCAGTGTTGAATTTTCTAGGTCACAGTTTGAGCCAGTGCGCTCACAGCCCCGGGGATGTAGGGATAAATTCACATTGTATTTAGTGAACAGTTTATCCTTTTTAAAGACTGTATTAAATCTTTTTGATGTCTGCTGGTAAGATGAAAGTCTGTCATTATTTTTGCTCTCTTCATTGTAGCTTTGCATCACTAACAATACAGCAGTCTGAAGAGGCTCAAAGGGAATTTTCTAACAGGCAAAAATTATTACCTTGGGTCCAATTTGTCCTTTTGAACCAGGTGCACCAGGTAAACCCATCTCACCCTGCAGGAGAGTGAAGAAACTCCTCACATTCAATATTAACACATCGATGTGCACTGAACTTGTGCATAAACAGTCAGCTGTTAACTTACAGGCGATCCAGTCGATCCTGTGAAGCCCCTTGGTCCAGGCGCACCAACTTCCCCCTTAAATGAGAATCATGTCAGCTGAATGTTACCACAAACAACGAGTAAAATAAATCACTGATCAGTGTCTTTTGCACATCTGTTTGGCAACTTGTTTACCTTTTGTCCATCCAGGCCCGCAGTTCCCGGTAATCCAGGTAAACCCTGACAGCATGGAAACACATTATAATCTAATGCACATCA